AAATAAATACCAAATATATCACTCTTTAAAATTACGCATGCCCGTGCAACAGCAACAAACTATGTAAATCAGTGGTTCCAACCTTTCTAATGCCGCGACCCCTTAATACAGTTCCTCATGTTGTGGTGACCCCCCAACCATAAAATTATTTTCGTTGCTACTTCATAACTGTAATTTTGCAGTGGGAGGAGTAGTGCCACGTCACTGGTGTCAGTGGGAGGAATACGTACCAGGGGCATCTCCTGGGGCCCCCTACAGACCCCGGGCCCTCGGGCAGTGCTTGAGTTTCCAATTGGTCAGTCCGCCCCTGTGAAAAATCTGCTGAATGTCTAGATATCAAACATGGCATAGTTCACTATTTCAGCTAGAACTATATGGCTTTCCGCTCTCCTGTAGACTTCAACTAGGGGGTGTAAGATATCAGACGACTCGCATTAAACTGAGCTATCCGAATATATGCTTGGTTTTTATATAATTATTTCCCATCCCCAGATATAAAATTATATGGAAAAGTGGGTTTTAAATGTGTTGTCTGTTTTACGGCTAGCTGGAATGTCTTTGAAGCCCAGTGAAGGACTGGTTTATGGTTTTATGATTCTCTCAGATTGAGAAGCTAACAGACACCCGGCACCAGCTAATTTGGTATTTATAACCATGAAGCTGTCCCGCTGTGCCTGATTGCCTGTGCACCTCTGAAACCAGACACAGGGACCACGTGTCACTCAACAGAGAGGGAGGGGGGATTGGAGGGAAAGAGATACAAGATGGAGGATCCTTAGCAAGATGGATGACCGCGTCCATCTCTGTGTGCACAATTGCTAAAATTACTACTTTAGAAATCGGTGCGGCTCCGACTAAGTCAGAGCCACACCGATTTGATCGCTGTAATTGCGGACAATAAGGTATGACTTGGCATATGATTTGCAAAATCGCATGCCAAGTCGCACCCGATGTGACCGGGGTGTAAATCAGAGTGGATGTGTAAAATATGCAAATATCTAGTTCAAATTAACTCAAATATTTTCAGAAATGCATGATTATAACATTTATCCTAGCCCAAATAAGTTTTCTAAGCCTAAATTTGATTAAAGATGAGGATGTAAGCAGTAGACACTGGGGGGGTTGGGATTTACTAAAGCTGGAGAGTGCCAAATCTAGTGTAGCTCTGCATAGAAACCAATCTGCTTTCAGGTCTTATTGTCAAAGCTTAATTGAATAAGCTGAAGTAAGAAGCTGATTGGCTACCGAGCACAGCTGCACCAGATTCTGAGTGCTCCAGGTTAAGTAAATCTCCCACAATGTTAGAGGTAGACGTAACCAATATTTCTTGGACAAGTTATATAGAGTATTTATTTTATTATTTCAGGTACTTATATAGCGCTGTCAATTTACACAGCGCTTTACACACACACATATATATATTGAACATTCACATCAGTCCCTAACCCTCAAGGGGTGTACAATCTAAGGTCCCTAACTCACATTCATAGTGTAGGAAATAATATAAAATAAAAATAGTTCTACCACAGGTTTTGGAAAAATACACTTTTATACTCTACTTAATTAAAATCATATAAAACATTCAAATAAAGCTCCATAATTGTATTCATCAGAAAATGTATCTGGAGGCTAGAAGGACAAATCATCTTTATACATTTGTATTGTGAATGGCACATAGTATATAATTTATAGGGCAATACAGATGCCTTTTAAGCCCACACACTGAGGAAATAATGGACAGGTTCTCATATTCTTATAGTACTTTTTCATAATTGCTATGTTCACAGAATAATTACACTAGCCGTGCATATAATGGATACTCAGAAATCTATCTGTGCATGTAAACCCAATTGAACACTAGCAACACACCTTTTAACTTTGCATGGTTTTGAATTAGTATAATTACAGCCATCTCAATTCAATTAGCTATTTGCTTATTTGACAATGAGCAAAGGGAAAAAACAGATTCTGAGAATGTTCAAGGTTTTAAACTTAAAAAAACAAAAACAAAGTACACATTGCATGGGGGGGGGGGGGGGGGGGGAGATCTTTGCTGTAGTCTTAACATACTTCCTAATGACATTGGGATAAGACTAGAGATATGCACAACTGAAAAAATTGTTCTGTTTTCGGTTTAATTCGTTAAGTAAATAATTTTGTTTGGTCATATTTGTTATATTTGATTCTTTTTGGGAAGGTTTTCATTATTTCAAGAGAGTATATATTCAATTTTCTGAATTGGTTCGTATTTTTGGAAGCTCTGTTATTCTTTTGCTATTTCAGAAGATTGGCTATAATATTATTATTATTACTAAAGGTACTTATATTGTGCTGTCAATTTACACAGCACTTTACACATATATTGTACATTTACATCAGTTTCTGCCCTCAAGGAGCTACAATCTAAGGTCCCTAACTCACATTCATACATACACGTTCGTTTCAAGGTTCATTTGTTATTTAGCGAGATTACTTATGCACTCTGAGTCATCCCTGCTGGTCCAACCTACAAAGAAAAATGGAAATGGAAAGTAACGTAGGGAAAGAAATTAATTTTCAATTCTTTCGTTAGATTATGATTCAGAGATTCTGATGGATCCACTTCCATTCAACCCAAACTCAATAAGTAGGAATCATCTTTTTTCGCTTTTATACCTTACTCTGTATTTATTGCAATATGTTTCCATTTCATATATGGTGCATTTTTTATAATAATGAAAAATGGTAATGCAAAAATAATTGGGTATTTATTATAACATACAGGTTACGCTTACTAAAATAAAAACAAGTTGATCCAAATAAATTTGGATCATTTGTTATGTTATTACATTAGTTCATATGCTTCAAACATTAATATACAGTGGGGATCGAACGTTTGGGCACCCCAGCTAAAAATTTGTATTAATGTGCATAAAGAAGCCAAGGAAAGGAAAAATCTCCAAAAGGCATCAAATTACAGGTTAGACATTCTTATAATATGTCAACAAGAAGTTAGATTTTATTTCCATCATTTACACTTTCAAAATAACAGAAAACAAAAAAATGGCGTCTGCAAAAGTTTGGGCACCCTGCAGAGTTAATATCTTGTACTGCCCCCTTTGGCAAGTATCACAGCTTGTAAACGCTTTTTGTAGCCAGCCAAGAGTCTTTCAATTCTTGTTTGAGGTATCTTTGCCCATTCTTCCTTACAAAAGTCTTCCAGTTCTTTGAGATTTCTGGGCTGTCTGTCACGCACTGCTCTTTTAAGGTCTATCTATAGATTTTCAATTATGTTGAGGTCAGGAGATTGTGAAGGCCATGGCAAAACCTTCAGTTTACACCTCTTGATGTAATCCCCCGTGGATTTTGAGGTGTGTTTAGGATCATTATCCATTTGTAGAAGCCATCCTCTCTTTAACTTCAGCTTTTTCACAGATGGCATCAAGTTACCATCCAAAATTTGCTGAAATTTTATTGAATCCATTTTTCCTTCTACTCGTGAGATGTTCCCTGTGCCACTGTCTGCAACACAACCCCAAAGCATGATTGATCCAACCCCATGTTTAACAGTTGGACAGAGGTTCTTTTCATTAAATTCTGTGCCCCTTCTTCTCCAAACGTACCTTTGCTTATTCCAGCCAAAAAGCTCAATTTTAACCTCATCGGTCCACAGAACTTGTTTCCAAAATGCATCAGGCTTGTCTATATGTTCATTTGCAAAGTTCAAACGATGATTTTTGTGGTGAGGACGTAGAAGAGAGGTTTTCTTCTAATGACTCTTCCATGAAGACCATATTTGTACAAGTATCTCTTTATAGTGGAATAGTGTACCACAACTCCAGTGTCTGCCAGATCTTTCTGGAGGGATCGTGCAGTCAAACATGGGTTTTGAATAGTTTTTCTCACAATCCTGCGAGCTGTTCTGTCTGATATTTTTCTTGGTCTTCCAGATCTTGCTTTAACTTCCACTGTTCCTGATGACTGCCATTTCTTAATTACATTCCGAACAGAGGATATTGACATCTGAAAACGCTTTGCTAACTTCTTATAGCCTTCTCCAGCTTTGTGAGCGTCAACTATTTTCAGTTTCAGTTTTCTAGACAACTGCTTAGAAGAACCCATGGTGCTGATTGTTGGGGCAAGGTCAGATGAGTCGGGGCATTTAAAACCTTTGAGATTGACATCACCTGGTCTTCCCAGACAATGATTGAGAACAATCCATGACACTGGCAGGTCTCAGCTTGGCAAAGGGGGCAGTGCATGCTATAAATTCTGCAAGTTGCCCAAACTTATGCAGACGCCATTTTTTTGTTTTCTGTTATTTTGAAAGTGTAAATGATGGAAATAAAATCTAACTTTTGTTGACATATTATAAGAATGTCTAATCTGTAATTTGCTGCCTTTTGGAGATTTTTCCATCTTTCCTTGGCTTCTTTATGCACATTAATATAAATTTTTAGCTGGGGTGCCCAAACTTTCGATCCCCACTGTAGGGCCCAAACTACACTGTGTGCACAATTAAGCAAGTGAGTATTTTGGCCAAATCATAATTTTTCTGCACATTATCCAACTCCAAGTTGTTTACACTTGAATGCTTACTGAATTTACGCATATCAGGTGATGTGTATTTGTGTTATGAGGGAGGGTGTGGCCTAAGGAGATCAACACCAGGGGCGGACTGACAACTCATAGGGCCCCCGGGCAATAGGGGATCATGGGGCCCCTGTGTCCTTGCCCAAACTCATAAAAGCCTATGAAAAAGGTACCAGGGGCATCTCATGGGGCCCCCTACTGACCCCAAGCCCTCGGGCAGTGCCCGAGTTTCCAAATGGTCAGTCCGCCCCTGATCAACACCCTATATCAAGGTGTGCATAATCATTAGGCAGCTTCTTTTCAGAGATTTAACTGACTTTTAAAAGTCAAAAATTTAAAAAAAGTCTTTCTGAGGGGTGTAGCAGTATTGAAATTGCAAAGTATTGGAGCATGATCAGAGAACCATCAAATGTTTTCTTGCAAATAGTTAACAGTGTCGCAAGAAATGTTTTGAGAAAAAAAAGACACAAATTAAGTTCCATAGATTTAAGAAGAATCAAAAGTGAAGCCACCAGGAACCCATTATCCTCCAGTGCTGTCATATTCCAGAACTGCAACCTACCTGAAGTACCTTAGATTGTAAGCTCGAAAGAGCAGGGCCCTCAAACCTCTCGTACATTGTTTTGTTACTGTATTGTCTCATGTACTGTCCCCCACTATATTGTACAGCGCTGAGCAAACCTTTTATATAAACACTGTATAATAATACCCAGAAGTACAAGGTGTTCAGTGCTCAGACATGGCCAAGGTAAGGAAGGCTGAAACCCGACCACCACTGCACAAGACACATAAGTTGAAACGTCAAGACTGGACCAAGAAATATCTGAAGACAGATTTTTCAAAGGTTTTATGGACTGATGAGATGAGAGTGACTCTTGACAGATCTAGTGGATGAGCCCATTGCTGGATCAGTAATGAGCACAGAGCTCCACTTTGACTCAGACGCCAGCAAGGCTGTCAGTCACTGGGTGCTGGTTGGTGATTACTCACCGGCGCCCGGTTATGGCGGAGCATCTCCGACAGGGAGGAGAACTGTAAACAAAACAGTTCTCCTCCCTGTCAGCTCGTGCACACTGCTTTGCATGGCTGTGCACAGCACAGCCATGCAAAGCAGTGTGCTTACAGTGAAGCACAGGGACACAGACAAGTAAAACAGCACACAGTTAACCCTTTGATCACCCCTCATTAGTACAGTGCCAGTACTTTTATTTAGCACTGATCACTGTATTGATGTCACTGGGGATGTCAGTGACACCAAATCAGTTCCCCCTGGTGTCAGAATGCCCACCGCAGTCCTGAAGTCTCGCTATAAGTTGCTGATCTCCGCCATTACTAGTAAAAATAAGAAAAAAAATCCCAGTATATATACCGCCATTTGTAAACGCTATAACTTTCATGTAAACCAATTAATTTACACGTATGGGTTTTTTTTTTTAAGCAAAGACATGTAGGAGAATACATTTTGGTCTAAATTTATAACGAAATCTGATTTTTTAAAATTTTTCTTTTTTCAAAATTGTTGGTCTTTTTTTTTTTTTTATAGAGCAAAAAACGCACAGATGATCAAATACCACCGAAAGAAAGCTCAATTCGTGGGGAAAAAAGGACGTACATTTTTCATTTGGGTGCAGTGTTGCATGACTGCACAATTGTCAGTTAAAATAACGCAGCGCCACATAACGCAAAAAATGGCCTGGTTCGGAAGGGAGGTAAATCCTCAGGAGGGCAAGTGGTTAAATTTCAGAAATGTTTATTTGTACATTTTGAGTTGTTTTGTTTGTTTATTCACAATTATTATGCAACTAAAATGACAAACAAAACTTTTCCAATCTCACTTTAACAGATGAAAATAAACAAGTGAGATTGGAAAATTTTCGTTTTTCATTTAGTTGCATAATAATTCTGCACACTAATAGTTACCCAATAATTGTGCACAAATAGATATTCTCCTAAGAAAGCCAAAACCTCACTTTTACTTTCTTAAATATTCAAGTTTGAAGTTTATTAACATTTGGATTGACCGAGAGCTCTGTAGTTGTTCAATAATGAAATTAATCCTCAAAAATACAACTTGTCTAATTGTGCACACAGTATATTGCATCATGTCATCTGAATGAAATGAAGGAATATGAATAAATTTGCTGTTTTCATTATAATTTCTTTTGGATTCATTGAAATCTATCATTATTGTGATTCAGAGATTTGGATACATCCAAATCTCAGAATCATGAAACTTTTGTATTCATAATGAAACAAAACACACATGTCTAGAGAATCTGCAGAGCCAGGAATAGTTCGTAACATTCAATTGAACCTAGTCTGTAATGTTGAAACCAGTCCAGTTGAATGTAATCGGTTACTGCTAGCTTTACAAAGACAGAGGACAGCACTGGATTTCTAGCAGGACCAGCAAATATGTTTTGCATTCATTAAAGAGATAAAACACTTTGTTTCAATCATCTTTATTTAATTACAGTATAATAAATTAGGGTTCAGTGCAAATGGTATTACATCATTTCTGTACATATGAATGCCTTTGAGTATCTTGTCATCAGTACAATTGTTTTGAACAAAAAGGTATATACAGGTATGTATTATATCTAAGAGTTCATAATAAAGGCAATTTAAACCAAGAATTAATTCAGTCGTGATTCGACCTATCAGTTCATTAAGATCTCTGTGTGAGCTTTGATATTAATGTCTCACGCTGGGGGGTAGCTGTAAGGATAATATGTATATATTGCTAGAGATAGTATTGTTAGCAGTTTCTTTGAAGGTCAGGATTATGTTGTCTGAATTGGGAGAATAGTTAGCTTTATAGATAGAATTGGGAAGTAAGGAGTAGAGATTTAAAGCAAAAAAAATATTGTTATTTATTGCAGCGTACCACTAATAAATGGGGTGACTACATTTGTTTTCTTTTATTAAACCTTTTTTGTATTTTATTTAAACTTCTGACAATAACACACTTCCTGCCCTAGAGTGACAACACTCAATCAGCATATTGTCACTGTCCAGCATGCAGATTTCTGTTTGTTCATTTCTTACCTCCTTGCTGCATTGGTTGCTAGATCTGTTTCCATTCACATGTGCTGGCCTCTCTGTTCACCTATGGGTGTCTCCTGTCCCTTTGTTGATTTATATCCTTTTCCCTTCTATCACTTCCTGGCATTGTAGGTGCATTCCTACTCAGAGACAGAATTAAAAAAAAAAAAAATTCAGCAAATCACATTGTATGATTTTTAAAGAATTTATTTGCCTTGCACTGCTAAACATAAGTATTTGAACACCTGAGAAAATCAGTGTTAATATTTGGTACAGAAGCCTTTGTTTGCAATTACAGAGGTCAAACGTTTCCTGTAGCTCTTGACCAGGTTTGCACACACTGCAACAGGGATTTGGCCTACTCCTCCACACAGATCTCCTCTAGATCTGTCAGGTTTTGGGGCTGTCGCTGAGCAACACTGAGTTTCAGCTCCCTCCAAAGATGTTCTATTGGATTTAGGTCTGGAGACTGGCTAGGCCACTCCAGAACCTTGATATGCTTCTTACTGAGCCACTCCTTGGTTATCCTGGCTGTGTGCTTCGGGTCGTTGTCATGTTGGAAGATCCAGCCACGACCCATCTTCAATGCTCTGACTGAGGGAAGGAGGTTGTTGCTCAAAATCTCACAAATAAATGGCCCCATTCATCCTCTCCTTAATACAGTGCAGTCGTCCTGTCCCCTTCACAGAAAAAGCACCCCCAAAGCATGATGTTACTACCCCCATGCTTCACAGTAGGAATGGTGTTCTTGGAATGCAACGCATCCTTTTTCCTCCAAACACGAGTGAAGTTTAGACCAAAAAGATCTACTTTGGTCTCATCTGACCACATGACTTTCTCTCATGCCTCCTCTGGATCATCCAGATGGTCATTGGAAAGCTTCAGACGGGCCTGGACATGTGATGACTTGAGCAGGGGAACCTTCCGTGCAATGCATGATTTGAAACCATGACGGCGTAGTGTTCTACTGACAGTGAAACTGTGGTCCCAGCTCTCCATGTCATTGACCAGCTCCTCCCTTGTAGTTCTGGGCTGATTCCTCACCTTTCTTATCAGTGATACCCCACGAGGTGAGATCTTGCATGGACCCCAGTCCGAGGGAGACTGACAGTTGTCTTTAGCCTCTTCCATTTTCTAACAATTGCTCCAACAGTTGATCTATTCTCACCAAGCTGCTTGGCAATTGCCCCATAGCCCTTTCCAGCCTTGTGGAGGTCCACAATTTTGTCTCTGGCGTCTTTTGACAGCTCTTTGGTCTTGCCCATGGTAGTAGTTGGCATCTGACTGATTGTGGGGTGGACAGGTGTCTTTAAAGAGCTCAGACAGGTGCTACTAAGTTAGATTAATGAGTGGAGTAGAGGTGGACTTTTTAAAGGCACAGTAACAGGTCTTTGAGAGCCAGAATTCTTGCTGTTTCTTTGGTGTTCAAATACTTACATTCAGCAGTGCAAGACAAATAAATTCTTTAAAAATCATACAATGTGATTTCCTGAATTTTTTTTTTAAATTCTGTCTCTGAGTGGGAATGCACCTGCAGTGTGAATTTCAGACCCCTCCATGATTTCTAAGTGGGAGAACTTGCAAAATCGCAGGGTGTTCAAATACTTCTGCTCACTGTATATGCTTGTGCTCAGTGCAGTGCTCTTTCCCATAGCTTCACGGTTCTCTGAGATCCTGTTCTCTTGTTACTTGAGTATCCTATGCTTTACTGTGTACTGACCCTGGTTTTATCCATCACTTGTGCTTGTTTGCCGCCCATCCTGAACTTGGCTTGTCTCCTGGATTTCCTCTTGTGTCCTCCTGTTTGTACTCTGCACAAGTGAGTGGTTTCCGCATCCGCAGCTGGGTGTGCCTTGACCTGGTTGCAGCTTGCTGCAAGTCCATCCCCACCATCAGGGTCCCTGGTAAAGAAGCAAGTTGGGACTTAGGAAAAAATCCTCATGCGCTCAACTAATATCCTTAAATTATACACACAAGCAGCTATCACCTTTACCTATACCAAAGGTTAATCATAATAATAAATAATGGTGGTGAAGCGCTATACATAAATATCCCTAAATAAATATATACAGTTGCAAGAAAAAGTATGTGAACCCCTTGGGATTATGTGGAGTTTTGCATGAATTGGGCATAAAATGTGCTCTGAACGTCATCTAAGTCACAACAATAGAAGAACACAGTCTGCTGAACATAATACTACACAAACATTAGATGTTGCCATGGTTTAATTGCACATAACATGTAAACATTCACAGTGCAGGGAGGAAAAAGTATGTGAGGCCCTAGCTTAATGACTTCTCCCAGAGCTAATTGGAGCCAGGAGTGAGCCAACCTTGACTCCAATCAGTGTGATGATATTGGATGTGTTGCTGTCCTGCCCTTAAAAAACACTCACCTGTTTTGGGTTTACTGGTTTCAAGAAGCACTGTCTGATGTGAACCATGCCTCGCAGAAAAGAGCTCTCAGAAGACCTACCATCAAGAATTGTTGACTTGCATGAAGCTGGAAAGGGTTACAAAAGTATCTCCAAAAGCCTTGATGTTCATGTGTCCACGGTAAGACAGACTGTCTACAAATGGAGAAAGTTTAGCACTGTTGCTACTCTCCTTAGGCGTGGTCCTCCTGTAAAAATGACTGCAACAGCAGAGCGCACAATGCTGCATGAGGTAAAGAAGAATCCCAGAGTGTCAGCTAAAGACCTACAGAAATCTCTGGCACATGCTAACATTTTTGTTGACACATCTACAATAAGGAAAACATTAAACAAGAATGGAGTACATGGGAGGACACCACGGAGGAAAGGCCATTGCTGTCCAAAAAGAATATTGCAGCACGTTTG